GAGAGACGAAGTTTGGCCATCCTGGCCTCCAAGGAGCACTCTGGCTGCGCTTCTTCCAACACAGATCTTTTGGTTCTTTTGGCAGCCCATGGCACTTTCAATATTCTCCTCCAACACCCTAACCCAAAAGCATCAATTCTTCTACAGTCTTCCTTATTCACTGTCCAGCTGTCGTATGCATATGAGGTTATTGAAAACATAGTCAAGACCTTCTCCTCGGTGTGGTGTCTCCACATCTTCTTTTATTTCATTTCTCACTACTTTTCTTCTCGGTTGTTCTTTTTCTCTCTATTGTTTTCAACTCTCTGGGTTTGTTGTTTGGAAGTTTCGATGGCAATGGTATTAGAACTTTTTGTTTGTTTCTTCTTAAAAAAAAACACACACACACAACAATTTTATTGTGAATTGAGTGATGGTTCACAGAGCAATCATCAACTTTACATTTACATAGACTTGGTTTTGTTCCAATGACTGCAATCCCTTCCATGTGACAATCAGCTACCCCGCTTACGCCTTGTGATTCTTTTTTATTTTTTAATGTTTTATTGTGAATTATGTGATAGTTTACATGGGAGAACATTAGTTTTACATTCATCCTATCATATATCGTTTCATTCTTCCCTGTGATTCTTGTTCCCAGTCTACCTTCTTTCCCAACCCTTCTGAATTTTGTCCTCAGGTATATGCTGCCCTTTGAGTCTTGAATGGTTGACTATTTTATGGTGTGAACTACCTCACAAGTGTTGTTGCTCCCTCTGTAGATCTACCTACTGCTTGGCTGAAAACTGAGCCACAGGGGTAAGCTCAGTTCCAGACCTGAATGGTGACCAAGGACCAGGTTCTTCCAGTCTCCTGATCAGTAAGGCTGGTCTTTATACATATATATATATATATATATAATTGTGAATTTTCTTCCACATTTTCTCCCACTCAATCCAGGACCTTCTAATGCTATCCCTTTCAGGACAATTGGTAAGATCCTCTTCCTTTGTGGAAGACAGAAGAATGATGAAAATGAAGCTTGCTGGTTCATTCTTTGTCTATCTTTATCTTTCATTCACATTTTTTCTCTGTGTCCACATTTCCATTTCCTTACTCACTTTCTCCACGATTCTATTTTTCCTTTCCCTTCACCCCTCTCTCTCTATGTGTGTGTGTATTCCTCACGGTTCCTCTTTCTCTCTTTTGGGGCCATTTTCCCATGATTCTTGCTCTAACCCCCTTCCCCCATCTTCTGTCCTACCCTATCCCTCTCCCCTTCTCTCTCCAGACATTATGAGCTCTGGATGGGCATCCACAACCTTCATAGGCAGGAAATCACAGCCCAGCTTGCTAATGTCACGGACTACTTCCGACACCCAATCTATGACCTATCAGTAATAAAGAAGGGAAGACATACCAGTAGAGTACTGTATGCTGAGCCAAGCCAGGACTTCATGCTGCTCCGCCTTGAGAAACCTGTCCAGATCACAGATTTTGTGGATGTGGTGAAGCTGCCCACCAGTGAGCTCAGGCAGTGGAACAACTGTGTCGCCATGGGCTGGGGCAAGTGCTCAGAAGAAAGGATAGGAATGAAACCTGGTATTGTCCATGCTTAAAGGGAATTCAGACTTCTGGGTCTATGGGAGAAAGGGGGTAGAGGCTGGGAGCTTTGTGTCTGTGGGTGAAGGAGACTGGAGGCATGGACTCCTGGGTCTGGAAAAGGAGGAGGACACCTGGGTTTAAGGGAGAGGGCTGGAGAGCTGCAATCACAGTCTTGTTTCTCCCTGGCCCATAGCCAAGGTCTCAGATGTTCTGCAGTGTGTGGACCTGAGTTCCTTGCTCAATAGTTTATGTGGAGGACACCAACTCCAGCAAATGGAAGATTTCATGCATTGCTCTGAAATGCTGTATTACAACGTAGAAACCTGTTTGGTGAGCCCACCTCAACTTCCCCAACCTGTTGGCCAGAAGGAGGGAATCCAGAATCAGCAGGCATCTCACTGCCCCAACTACTTCCGAGTTGTAGCCCCTCCTGTTCACAGTGCTTCACATCTCCCGCACATATCTCCCTTCCCTTCCCACGTGGCCTTCTGCCTACCACCTGCATCTCACTCCTCCACATCCTAGTACATTCTTTACTCCCTTTATTACATATTTACTCAATCTCTACTAAGTGAATGATACTGTGCTTTACCTAAGAGAGACAGTAGTGAACAAGACAGAGAAACTCCCCCGCCCCCCTCATAGAGATCTCATTCTGGTGATGGGGGAAGACATCAACAATAAGCCCAATTGTTCAGTTGTGTTGTTAAGTGCCATTGAGTAGGTTCCTACTCATGGAGACCCTGTATAAGGTTTCCAAGAGGCGGCTGATGGGTTTGAACCACTAACCTTCTAATTAGTAGTCCAATGCTTATCCTACAGTGCCTCACTAGGATACCATACAATAAACACAACAGATACAGGTAAATGTTAGTGTGTATCAGGAGGTGAGGTGTGCTGTGGGGGCAGGAAGAACTCGGAGAGCTAGAGGTAAATGATCAGGTCAGGGGATAGACGCTACTGACAAGGTGAGATTAAGAAAATACGTGAAGTCGATGGAGAGTGAGTCACGTGGAAGTCTAGAGCAAGAGCATAGGGAACAGCAAGTGCAAACACCTGTGGTGGAGTGGGCTTGTGAGTGAGGAAGAGTGATGAGCTGAGTAATGAAGGGGAAGAAGGCAGGAGAGGACATCAGAGAAAAGAAAGGGGACTATTGTGTAGGGCCTTGAGGACCATAGTGAGGATACGGTTTTCCTCTGAGTGAGCCATAACAAAGGCAGGACAGGAGCTGACCTACATGTTACAAGTTCCTTCTGTGTGGGGAACAGACTGAGGGAGGGAAGAGAGACAGGGAGTCCATATACAATAGTCATAATGATTGTTGAACCAGGGTGCTGGCAGGGAAGGTGGAAGAAGGGGTCTGATTCTCCAGATGTGTGAAAGAGAGCCCATGGGTTATGCTGGCTGATTGCCAATGAACAGTGTGAGGCAAAGAGGAGTCAAGGACCCTCCCAAGTTTTTGTCCTCAGTGACAGCTGAGCATCTCCAAGAAGACAGCTAACTGCACCCCCACCACACACACCACACGTGCACCCTACACACACACACACATACACACACACACACACACACACACACCACACACCCTAAACACTCACCAGTTTCCAACTGAGCCCAGTGGCTTCCACCAAACCTGTCCCTTCCCACTCCCTGATCCCCAGCTTTCAGTCACTGAACCGTCCCATCCTTCAGCTCCCCTAGTGGATCCATCCTCAACCCTGGTCCATCTGCTCTCTGACTCTCTAACCATCTCCTTCTCTCTGTCCCACTGTCCCAGTCTGAACTTATTTCCCCATGGACCCTACCCCTGCCCAGCGTTATTCATAATCCCCTGGTTTTCAGAATTTCCCCCTCCAAGTAGGTCATTCTATCAGAACCAGCCTTGCCCCTCCCCTGCTCACAGTCCTTCTATGTTCCTCAGTGTCCTGTGAGTGGGGTGTCCGGTCATGGAAAACTTCCTGGAAGTTGTGGCATCTAAGATGAGCTGTGAGGGAAGGGGGGTTGTGTAGATGGATCTTTCCTACCCTTCCACTGACCTGTCTGTAGGAGCTTTCTCCTAGACCCTGCTTCTGTGCAGAAACTAGACACTAAAGTGTCACCATCTTCAATAAGCAGGACTCCAGCCCCTGCCCCCGTTGGAATCTCTGCCTATCTTCTTCTGGGGCTGGACTCTGGAGACCAATGTCTCTTTCCCCAGAGCTGGGTGGTCACTGTGATTCTGAGTCCAGGTCTGAGGTCTGAGAGTTCAGTGCTCATAGGCTGAATTGGGTCATTGCTGACATTTCCCTCTTTCTCCTAGGGTGACACAGGAGGCCCTGTGATCTGTGATGGAATTCTGCGAGGTATTGTGTCAATGGATCACTTCCCAACATGGTACCCTAATGTCTTCATGAAATTGATGCCAGTCATGTGGTGGATCAGAAACACCACAGAGACCAACCCCTGAACACTCCCATGTTCCCTCTACCCTCAGTAAAATTCAATTCACATCAAAATCTGGAGTCATCTGGCCTTCCTAGACATTTTTTTGAGTCTACCCCTTTCTCAGTTCTACTGACCTTTCTTCCTAACACGGGGGTTCAAGGATAGGGAAAGAAATAACAGGCAGACATAGGTCTTAAACAATGGCTCTTTAAATGGGCACATTTACCCCACTGCCAGGGGACCATTCAGCAACATTTGGAGACATTTTCTCACACAGTTTATTTAATGACACTCATAAGACAGTGGATGCTATTTGTGGGGTAGAAGAGATGGAATCAGGGGGTGTCCCCTTAAGAGAGTGGACAGTGACATGGTCTAGACACAATCAGTGGAGAACAGAGCTGAATTTGGAAACACAGTACACCAGACAGACACACACCAAGGACAAGCTTAAAACAAAACCCACCAGACAGACACACAGCAACTTGAAACGATATGAAAATGTAGCTCTGCAGAGACGATGACGTGGAGAGATGGAGCAACTGTGGACTCTGGACTCAGGGAGGGAGAGGGGCTGTGTGCTGATGGCCAGGGGACAGGGTTGTGGGGTGTGACCTTTGGTTGTTTGATGATGCATGGAGGGTATTGTAATCACTGCAATGACATGGAATATGATAGGATGAATGTAAAGCTGGTGCTCTCCCATGTAAACTATCACATGATTCACAATAAAGGCTTAAAAAACGATGTACTTCTACATGAAAAGGCTGAAGGAATGTGGCATCACACAGAACCCTTGCAGTTCAGTGGGGTAAGCACTGGGCTGCTAATCAAAAGGTCAGTGGTTCAAATGCAATAGCCACTCCAAGGAAGACAGTTGAAGGATTCTGCCTCTGTGAAGATGTGTAGCCTCAGGAACCCTAGGGAGCAGTTCAAGTTTGTCCTATAGGGTCACTATGAGACTAGACAACCATAAGTTTGGGAGGCTTTGTTTGGATTCTTTAATGACACACTAAACACAAACAAGAACCCAAAATAAACTCACTGCCACTGAGTCAATTCCAACTCATCCTGACCCTATATAGGATTTGTTGTGGTTAAGTGCCACTGAGTCAATTCCAACTCATACTGACCCTATATAGGATTTGTTGTGGTTAACTGCCACTGAGTCAATTCCAACTCATACTGACCCTATATAGGATTTGTTGTGGTTAAATGCCA